AGAACTACTGGGCCAAGAATATGGATATTTTTGAGGATTATTATACATATTCCCCAATTGCTTTTTAAAAATACTGTTCTGATTTATAATCTTCTCAGTAAAATTACCACTCTAGTTAAGAAAGGCCCATACCTGATGGATGTCATGGAATACGTGGACCAGGCTGACCACCCGTAATGGACAACTATGATACCTGTGTCTTTCTCTACACTGTACTAACCTCCCATGGTGGTAGCCAGAATACTCACATTACAAGCCTGCAGCTAGGATGCAGGCACACAGATAATGCCAACCCAATGCACCAGGTGAGATTTTGATTCGGAAGCGGGCAATATGAGGGAATACATATATGGGAATACAAGTTAGTTTGGCAGATGCGGCATTAGTGGCACCCAGCCCTCTGGAGACAGTGGAGGCAGCAAGATGAGCTGTGACCTCAGTCAATGGTGCAACTGCAGTGGTATCACTATAGCAGCCCCATCGAATGCTTGGGCATTCCTCCAGCTAGATGGCTGATAAGTCACATTCCCCGGTTCTTTTTTTTTTAATTAAAAATTATTTCATCCTTGCTTAAAGGGACCAGCTCCCTGGCTCTCCCAGGGTTCTGAGAAACTTTATAACCAGCAGAGCATCTGGTCTGCCCTGGGCAGATGCTTGCTGGGGCGGAGATACCAGGGCAGAGCCTCACTGCAGACAATTACTCCAGCCCTGATTGCAGGAGGCCTTGGGGGTGGTATTAGGCAGCCCTATTTTTTGGATCTTTTCTCTAGCTCCAGACTATGGCAGTCTCTTAAAGTTCAAATGGGCCCTCAGGGGACTCATTTATCCTTTCCTCCTGTTTTATGGCACTATAGTAAGGCCACTATCATATTTGATACTAATATAATTTTTATGTGTGGACTGTCATTTTCTAAAAGCACATACATGTTTTACATAATTCCAAAATTAGAATTCTTATAATGACATAATACTCGGCTTTTAGACTCATACAATAAAATTTTCCATGCTGCCTTATACTGCTTTTCCTAATTATCATCTTCCAAGCTATTAATATTTTGAGCAAAAAACCGTAATTTCATTAGCACTCCCCTATACTAGACATTTACATTATTTCCAGTTTTTCATTCTTTTAAAAATATTAAAATGGGGGCAGGTGCAGTACTCAACCTTGTAATCACAGTTCTTCGGGAGGATAAGGTAGGAGGTTCATTTGAGGCCAAGAGTTCAAGACCAGCCTGGGCAACACAGCAAGATGCCATCTTTAAAAAAAATTTTAAAAATTTCTTGGGTGGGATAGCACATGCCTATAGTCCCAGCTATTCAGGAGGCTGAGGTGGGAGCACTGCTTGAGCTCAGGAATTTGAAGCTACAGTGAACTATGATATACCACCACATTCCACTTGGATAACAGAATAAACCCTGTGTCAAAGAAAATAAAGTTCTGTATCAACAACCAAAAGAAAACTGGGTATCATAGCAGTTTCACATTTATACTGCCAAACTGCTTTCCAGAAAGTTCTATGCTGACACAGAACACGAACACCAGCAGGGTCTGAGGACATCAGCTCTGCATTCATTTCCCTGGCATGTGCATGAGCAGATTTAAGGTGGTGAGTTTGTGGGTAATGTTTTCCTCATTGTCTTATTTCCTTTATTATTTAACATTTCCAGCCTTCCTAGCAGCTAGGGTGCAGGGGACTTAGATTCTGCCAAGCAAACGCACACATGTGAGACTCATAAGCAAAAGAATGTAACAGCTTTATCAATCCAGACATTTTCTCAAGGATAAAAATGAGATATGAAAATCTTAGGATTTTGGAGGAACCATATTGTAGATATAACAATCCCTTAGGGACCACTCTTATAAATAGTTTAATAGGCAACTGCCTAGGTGCTATATTCAAAAGGTTCCTTTGATTAAGCCCCAAAGGGGCTTCCTCCATAGCTTATGTCTTTAATCCCTGTTAAAATGCCAGAGGGAAACTTGTTTTACTTATAACATTATGTAAGTAAACCAAGTATTCTTTTAAAGTCAAAAACTCACAGGCTCTCTAGAAACCTATGTCAGAAACATAAAGGAAAATGTTAATAGGTTTGACTATAATTACACCTGCTATAATTAATCAATCATTTGGCAAATATGATATTTTCTTAAGACAAATAAAATTGAGAAAATATTTATATTTGTCAAGTGATTAATAGCTCCTGGCTTCCCAAGTGATTTCTTCCTTGATTCACAGGACACTTCAGAGGTGTGGCAGCTGCCCCTGGGTAGCCCCAGTGACCCCACCTCCTGGTACTCACACTTTTGTGAGGAACCTCCCCGCCTCGCTCACTGTACCAGGGTTGGTCTGTGTAACCAACAGAATAAAAGAGATGGCATGTCACTTCTCAGAGTGGGTTCCAAAGGACACTGTGGACTCTGTCTGGCTCATTTTCTCTTTCTGATCACTAAGCTGCCCTGTTGAGAGAAATCCTTGAGGGAGAGGCCCAGGGAGGAAAAAAAAAAGGTCCCCATCCAATAGCCAGAAAGGAACAGAGGCCTCCCGCTGAAAGTTACAGGCCACATGCATGAGCTCGAAAGCAGATTCTCCAGCCCTCACAAAGCTTTGGCTGTCCTAGTTAAGTCTTAATCATAAGCTGAAGGATCCTTAGTTAGGACCACCCAGAAATCTGCTCCTGAACTTCTATCCCACAGGAACTGTGAAATACAGTCAAACGATGCTTAACCATGGTGATACATTCTAGGAAATGTGTTGTTAGGCAATTTTCATCATCATGGAACATCACAGAATACACTCACACAAACCTCTGTGTGTAGCTAAACATAGCTAAACACAGAGAAGGTAAAGATATGGTATTAAGATTCCACGGGGCTGCTGTTATCTATACAGCCCATCATTGACCAAAAAGTCAGTAGGTAACGCATAAGTTTAATTTTTTAAGACACTAGCCACTAAGCTTTGAGGTAATTTGTTATATAGCAACACATAACTAATAACTAATATAAGCACCTGGTGAGGTGGTTCATGCCTATAATCCTAGTAGTCTGGGAAGCTGAGGTTGAAGGATCACTTGAGCTCAGGAGTTTGAGACCAGCCTGAGCAAGAGGATATTTTGTCTCTACTAAACATAGAAAAATTAGCTGGGCATTGTGGTGAGCACACACTCCCAGCTACTCAGGAAGCTGAGGCAAGAGGACTGTTTGAGCCCAAGAGTGTGAGGTTGCTGTGAGTTATGACACCATGGCACTCTACCCAGGGTGACAGAGTGAGTCTGTCTAAAAACAGATAAATAAAAAACCTAATATAAGTGTGTTGTTTAATTTCCAAACATCTGGAGGACCTTCTAGGTTTATTGCTAGATTTATGTTTTTCACCAAATTCCTTCATTATAGAACCTTTTTTTTTTTGCCCAATTTCCTCACCTTCCTCTCCTTCTCTAACTCCTATTAGGTATTTGTTAGAGCTGATGTTGTCACACAGGTCTCTGAATCTGTTCCTCTCTTCCCTTTCTTTTCTCTCTGTGACTCTCAACAGCCACTCCCTCACACCTTCTCCACCCAGGCCTTGATGTCTTTCCTCCACCCTGCCTTGGATTCTTTTAGATTTGATGTCAGCTTCATTCTGTCTTTCTCTTAGGCCTACATGTTTTTTTCTTTTATTTGCCTTGGTTGACAACTCTTCTCTTTCACTTAAAAAAACCATTACGCAGAATTTAATCCAGTTTATTTTCCCCTGTTCTTTAGTGAAAAACCTAATTTTTAAAATTTAAAAATAGTAGGGAATTAACATTCATTGTTTAGTGTGATCACATTGAATGGTTCTTAAATAATTTTTTATCTCTGGTATAACTGGTGACATCATTTATATGACCAATTAAAACATTTAGCAATTCTTCTTTTTTTTTTGAGATGGAGCCTCAAGCTATCCCCCTGGGTAGAGTGCCATGGCATCACGCTCACAGCAACCTCCAACTCCTGGGCTCAAGCGAGTCT